GGACAAATGAGGAAACTGACTTACTTTACTAAGTGCTTTCCTCCAGGAATGTGCTAGATTTTCCATAAAACATTTCCTCAGTCTTCCCTAAAGGTAGATATTAGCCGTCTTTATTTTGACGGGTGTGGGAATCCAGTTCTAAAGATTCAGTAGCTGACCTGACCTCAGCTATAAGTAGTATAGTTGAAAGCAGAGGTAACGCTCTTCCGTCTCCAGTGTCCCACAGCCCTGGCCCTCCATGGCAGGTCCCCTCTTTTGTCCTCTCCCTTACTGAAAGGCTCTTACCAGTTAACTTGCCGAAGAATGTCCAGTAATTTCATCAATGACTGTCAGATTTAGCAAGGATGGTGTTAGAAACTTCCTGCCTGACCACCCTTGTGAAGGAGATGCCTTGACAAGAAACCGTGAGCACGTGAATTGGCAGCCGTGACCTTGAGGCAGAATGTATTGAAATGATGCAAGGCCAGAGGGAATTTGTCTCTTTCAGGAAGCTAAGAGAGGCCATCTGATACGTGGGCAGTTCTGGAGCAGAGAGCTTTGAGAGGAAGTTGGGATTTTTTAAGACTTAGTGCCCTGCTAATGGGGAAAGTTGGTAGGCAGCAGTGAGGCGCTGAAGCCAGGACAGAGGGACAGTCCACCCGGAATTCCAGGGAAGAGAACCGGAGGCAGCTGGAGACCCAGAACCTTGAGTGATGAAAGGTGAACTGAAGGAGATGGTGCTTGAGACACAGGCAGCGACCGGAAGCACGAGCACTCCGATGTGCCTGCTGGGGCAGAGGGCTGTCTCCATCTTAGTTTGCACGGCTCTGTGAGGCCTTGGCCTCGGGCTGCTCACTGCTGTCTTGCCCTGCAGCCCCACAGCCTCCACCTTCCCTCACGGCCTCCTTTACTAAACAGCTGAGTCTGTCAGCCCCAGTGCGCCGTGTCTGCCTGTGTTCATGTGTCCATCAGGGCTTCTGCGCCCATTACGGTCTCACCACATGGCTGCTTGCTCCAGGCTGTTGTAATGCAGTGATCTTGGACTCCATCCTAGGAGTATTTCCTGAAGTACTCAGAGGACCTCTTTATGAGACATGGGCTTTATTACAGTGAAGTTCCCATACTTGCTTCCCTTCCCTCCTCCAGGGCAAAGACTGTGCCTTCCTCTTCTGCTGTTCCTCCGCCCAGGAGGGAGAGCGAGGCTGCTGCCCCTTCCTGATTCTCAGTTCACATGCTGCCTCCCTTGAGAAGATCATTCCATGTGTGTGAGGGGTGCCAGTCTTGAGGATGCAGCCTTAGTTCTCTTAGAAAGCAGTGTCGTGTCTGGTGGCTGACTTCACGCTGACATGTCTCAGGATGCAGGGGTGGCTGCTTTTTTTCCTAAGTAGGTTTTCTATTGGTGCCTGAACCTTTGTCCAGCTTTTCTTACCCACCTCTCCTCTTGAATGGAGAGGGTGCCTGGGACAAATGGATCTCAGGTTTTGTTTGGGTTTGCCATGTTTTTCTATGCACACTGAAAGTCAATACTATTTTTGATTCCTATCTCCTCTTTCAAAGGCTTAAATCTGCTGAGGGCCTCTCCAGGCCGCAGCTGGTCTTCTTCCCCTGCACTGACTGCCTGCCTGATCAGTCTGTGTCTCCTGTGAGCTCCTTGGGTCCTTCCTCTGGTTTGACAGATTGTCTCTCTTAGATAAGCATCTGCCTATTGTTTTACCCACAGCTTCTAGAAAGACACTCACTGGCTCGAGGTTGCTGTGGGAGAGCTTGTGAACAGTGGAGCTTGCCATGGGCTTTGATCTCTTTTCCAGGGGCCAGTGGGATGACTTCAGGGTTTGGGGCTTTGCCGAGAGTGATGTGTGTTTTGTTAGACTTGTTTACCTTATGGTTAGGGCCCAAGAGCCTGGACCAAGAAGGAAACCACATGTTTATGCTCTTTGTGTTTCAGGCCATTGTCCTGGTACTGACTCCGTGGTAGAGAAGGTCTGCTTTTGTTTCCTGCCACTTCTCAGAAACTGACCCCCTACCTGTTGCTGCCCCCATTTGGCTACCCTCTGGCCCTCCCCCAGTTTTTTTGTGTAGTAGCAAACTTTCTAGGGTAGCTGGGGTCTCCTGGGCCGGAGACTGCCCTCCTGCTCTCCTTGGTCCCCTGTGTGGGCCATTCTGCAGTGGACACCGTGGTGACCTCCCCTCTGCAGCTGTGCTGGCTTCCAGGCTGACAACCAGGTTGAGTCTCCCCCACATCCCGTTCATGGGTTGGTCTCCGTTCTGGACAAGTAGAACCGTGTGTGAGGTGACGCAGTTTCTTCTGCACCAGGAACCTAGTTTGTTCTGATTAGTGGCTGCAGTGTTCTCCGAAGAAAGCCTCTGGCTTTTTCTGGTCATTGCCTCACTGTGTGCGTCTGGAGTTGGACAGAGAGGGCTCTCAGCTTGGTTGTTTTGGAGTAATGATTCTTTATGAATGGTTTGCCCAGAGAACAAGTGAGGACTCATTCCAGGCAGCCTGTGTTCAATTAAGTGTCGGTCACAGAGCTCAGTGGTCACAGATGCTGACATGGGCTCTGGTTGGGTTAGCATTGCCTTTTTTCCTTAGGCCCTTCTCTTTTTATTGTTTATATTATGTTTTTGCAGAAGCAGCATATGTTTATTTTAGAAAATATGGTACACCAAAAAAAAAAAGAAGAAGAAAAGAAACACAAGTATACCCCCTTCCACCTCTGAGGAATAGCCAGGTCTCTAACACATACCCTACAGCTGACTGTGAGCCTCCTGAAACCCATGGCCAATTGTGTATTTGCAGGTAGATATTTTTCTCAGGGAGAGATCTTTAGCTCCCACTGAATTCTCGAAGTCAGGGACCTTAGGTGCTTTTCTAATCTATCTTCTTGCGTTAGCCAGAGCTAAGTAAAACTAAACTGTGGTGGCCAGACTACTGTTGAAATGGGCTCTTAGCATCTGGAGAGGTGGTTTGCAGACTGTGGGCTCCAGCTCCCTGGTGTAGCAGTTAAAAGGAGACAGTGGTGATTATTTCACTCCTTAATGGCATTTATTGAGCATTTGCTGTGTACCAGCTCCTTGCTAGCAGCTGCGGCTCTCTTTCTCAGCAGTCAGGAGCATGGGAGGCTCTCCGGGACCAGTTGCTGTGTGTGTGTGAGCTGGCGGCAGCTTCAGGTGCCATTGGCCTTGTCGTTCAGTGTCCTAGTTAGGTGACAGGTGTGTGCAGCTCCTGGGCTCGCCTCCACGTCTCTCCTGTCCGTTTCCAGCATCAGTAGGGCCTGGGCTGTCCTCAGTGTGGACTAACAGTGTTCCGTAAAGCCCTGCTGCGCCTGATGTCTCCAGGCTCCTGACTGCTACCGCTTCCATCCCTTCCTTTGGCGTGATACCGAACAGAAGCCTTCAGGGAGATGAGAAGGGATGGAGCAGATACTGTTTCCCTCGCGGCCAGTGCCATGCAGTCTTGACACGGAGTCTCAGGAAACGTTTTGGGATTGGATTCGTCTCATTGAAAAGCCACCACTGGAACACAGACAGTGCTGTGTTTTAGACTGCAAACCCTTCACAGTTAGAAACACTTTGGTCTGATTCCCTCTGTGAAGGGACATGTGTAAGGGGTACCTCTGATCCCTTCAGGCCTGCTGCTCTGCTAGCTTTTGGTTATTTTTGCCACACAGGACAGGATCTGGTCCCCCTTTGCTTAAAGTCTTTGAAACAGAGTCTTACTTTATATTATAGCCCAGACTGGCCTCAAACACATGGCAGTTTTCCCGCCACAGCTGTTCAGTTTGCCAGTTCTTCTAGACAGAATCAAGATGAGTCTCAGCTTCAAAAACCCAGCATGGAGCCCCTTAATCCCAGAGAGATGCTGCAGCTGAGCACCTCAGGCTAGCCCACAGCCAGCCACAGGGCACACAGCCTTGGCCCTTGGGGGTGAACCTTGCCCGCTTTCCGTCCCAGGCAGGGACCGTGAGAGAGTGCAGACTGGAGGCTCCTCTCCTCTGCCTGTGTAGAACTTGAGCTGTTATTTGAAACCCCCTGTTCCTTATTAAATGGCTGACCTAATTTTCCCCTTTATCTCTAGTGGTGGAGATCCAAGAAGGGAAGACGACCATAGTAAGTATCGCTGCTGCGCTGGCCACTCACGACCTCCTCAGCGCTCGCTCGGAGCCGCCTGGCTGCTCCTCTGAGGGAGGGAGAGAGGCCCAATCTGGACTCCTGGCTCCGGGATCTGCTCCCTCTGAGACCATAAATCCTCAAGTCTACTATTTTTCGGGCTGTGTGCCGTAGTGTGGTTAATCAAGAACAGTCACTGTGCCTGTACTGAGGTATCTGTTACTTGATTAAAGTGACCTTTTGTATGACAAAGTCCCAGAGGCCTTTGCTAATATGTTCTCTGGCAAGTGATAAATCAGTTTCCCAAAGGGGAAACCAAGGCAGCCTTGCAGGCCTACAGAACCAGAGTTAGTTGGCCCAGAGCCAGGGCCTGGACATCTGATCCTTGCTTTCTGTCTATAAAGAGTGACCCTTAAGTGATGCGTTAAGCGATGATAGTCCCTAGGCCCTAACCGCACTAGCTGGCACCCTGGCTTGTCTCTTGGTAAGAAAACTGGAACGATTCTTCCACCCATGCCCCCCTTTCCCTCACTGGGCCCATCTTGCTTCCCTTGGGGAGTCAGTCATGGGGCCTAGATTATCCCATAATCCTTAAAAGACAACCTTGTTTTCACATGGTCTTCTATGCCTCCAAGGAATTCCCAGCCACCTCACAGAGCTCCCAGAAGGCTCAGGAACTTCCATGTCAACCAGGGGCTTAACCTCTTTGGCAGTCAGCCAAGTATAGGCCTCCACAAGGCAGTCTTATCCCCAGGAGAAATCCAATCATTCTTCTCCCAGAATACCTCCTTGTCCTTTCCACCGGTTAGCTTCTACCTAATTCTTACTTTTTAGGGTACTCCATCCACTTTGGGCATCTCTCCAGTTTTCTGATTAAAACCTAAAACAGTCTAGGCATGATTGTGCATCAGGAGTTCAAGGCCATCTTCAGCTATATAGTGAGCAAGCCTGGGCTACACGAGACCCTGTCTCAAATGGCAAAAGGCATTCACCCTGTAAACTCTGTGCTGGAGAAAAGGGTGACATCAAACTTTTTTGTTTTTGTTTTTTGAGACAAGGTTTCTCTATGTAATCCTGGCTGTCCTGAAACTCCCTTTGTAGACCAGGCTGGCCTCAAACTCACAAAGATCTGCCTGCCTCTGCCTCGCGAGTGCTAGAAGGCATGCACCATACCCAGCCTGACATCAGACTTTTGAAGTGGCATCTTTCTTCCACTTTTCTGGGTACAGAGTGCTCAGTGCTGAAGAGAGTCCCCCACCCATTGCATCTCCTGCTAATGCCGCCTTTGTCCTGGGTCTGGCCTTTTTTCTAGCTCATCACAATGCCCATTATTCTTCTGTTGGCTGTTTCCACTTTCCCTTGAAGACCGTGGCAGACCACGCCTGGCTGTCATCTGCCACTTCAGACTTCAGAACCAGCTAGTTCACCACCAATAGCAGCATCTCTAAGAGAAGCTAATGTGTTAGATACTCAGAATCACAGGCTTGCTTCCCAGCTGATGATGCTGTCGCAGCTGACTTCTAAGTGTAGAGAGGGTTTTTCATGTGAGGCATGGATCTGCTGTTTATAGAGAGAACGTGGAGACACTGCAGCTCTGTCAGGTGCTGCTGTGACTGACTGTGGGTGTATGTTCTCCAAAATCAGATCTGACGCCTGCCGCACTAAGTTGTGGGAGTTAGAGGAACTGGTACATGTGAACCATTCTTAGCACAGAACCAGCCAAGTGACAGTGAGCCAATGAGTGTTGGCTCTCTCCTGGGGCCCTGGAGGCCTCCCATGCACCTGCAGATTTTCCCTGGCCCTCAGCCTCTCTCTGACGTGTTTGGGGTTGCCATGGTAGAAGTGGGGGTTGGGTAGTGGTGCCTGACATAACTGAGCAGAACTTGTAGCCTTTCCCAGTCCAGGTGACAGGGTTACTTTTGTTCCTGTGCCTCTCAAATCCATCCCAGCCATGCTCTTAGGATTCAGTCTCAGCGAGGCCTGCTAAGCTGCCTCTGCAATTGGAGCTGACTCCCAGATCATTGCTTTAGTACACTTATCCATTCCAAGGCTGGGTCACAGGGTACAGCCATGATGGGAAGGTCATGTTACACGTGGCCTCTGCAGGGTATTTGAAAGGTGTTATTCAGAATGACAGAAGGAAAGCAAGCTGTAATCCCAGAACTCGGGCAGCAAAGGCAAGAGGTTCACTGCAAGTGTGAGGCAGTCTGGTCCCTAGAACACAATCCAAGCCAGCTAAGTCTACTGCGTGGACCCTGGTTTGATTTAGAGGAGGGCTGTATTGTGTTCATCTGCCCATGTTTTCTGTGTTTGCAGAGGGAGAGGAGCAGCAGACACCCGCTTGTCTGGCTCTTCCCAGGGTTTCTCAGCTGCAGCACTGGCTGGAGCTCTTTGTTGTGAGGGCTCCCCTGTGCATCCTTGCTAGGTGCCCATCATACCCCTTCCCCCAGCTGTCCAATCAGAAATGTCCCCCGACACGGCCAGACGGGGAAACACCCCCTCTTGTTGGGATGATCCGGCTCGGTTGTGTAAAGCTGGAAGAAGCAGTGCTGCCAGCAGATAACGAGCAGAGCGGGTGGACGCTGTGAAGAGCCCATCTCTGCCGTTTGGAACTTGTTTCCGTGTGTGTCTAGTTGTCCGAATGTGTACATGTGCATGCAGGTGCCCTTGGAAGCCAGGAGAGGGCATCAGATTCCCCTGGAAACCCAAGCCCAGTCCTCTACGAGAGCAGCCATACTCTTAGCTGCTGGGCCATCTCTCCATCCCATTTGGAACTTTTAACATGTGCACGTGTAACCCTTTCCAGAGTCAGGGAGGAAGCCTAGGGTTCAGGTGTTTTATTGTGGTTTGCTGAGTTGATATGGCAAACCCCTCTAGTTCAGCAGTTCTCAAACTGTGGGTCACAATCCCCAGAGACCATGGGAAAACACATATTTATATTCATAGCAGTATCAAAATTAGTTATGAAGTAACAACGGAAATCATTTTCTGGTTGGGGGTCACCACAACATGAAGAGCTGTATTAAAGGGTCGCGGTGTTAGGAAGGGTGAGAACACTGCTCTAGTTACCAGTATGTATGTCAGTCTGATGTCATCATTGCTGTTTGTCTAGTTTTTGAGGCAGGAGTCTTACATATAACCCCTGCTGGCCTAGAACTTAATACTGCGTAGCCCAGGCTAGCCTTGAACTTCTAGTTTTCCTGCCTCTGCCACCCACTGCTGGGATTACCGGATGCAGCACTGGTCTGTTTGCCAAACCACTTGCCTGTGGCCAAGGCCCAGCACATAGCAGCTACAGAAAATCTCCATCATACAAGAAGACCTGTTACTTGCTGCCGTGAGACCCCCAGAAGTAAGCTTTGGCTGGCGTTCATGCAGGGCATGGTCACAGTTAAAAACCTGCATGCCTGACCCAGGCTCTCACACTGGCTTTTTTTCCCTCCTTAGATTGAAGGCCGAATCACAGAAACTCCCAAGGCAACTCCAAATCCCCCTAACCCCTCAGGCCAGTGTCCCATCTGCCGTTGGAACCTGAAGCACAAATA